TACAGTATATTACATATATTATATCATTCTACGGAAGTATAATATTTATTACCATTTACCTAAATAAAATCTATCCACCGTTATTATTGTGAATTTGACAATGATGGTAGAATAATTATAGACTTGAAATTATTATACATCTATTACACGGCTGTCAGCTTTAAATGAAGTTATAATAATATTTATGTAAGATAAACATCTACATTTAAATAATTAAACTGGAAGAACGCTTCGGGTTCATAATATAATAAATATCTACGCAAAAATCAAGATTTTCAATCATGTATTTTTTTAATACCGGATAATAATACTCTTTGACGAGTTTATATTTTTTTTTATTCGTATCTGTTATTTCGATGCGAGAAGTTGTATTCTATTTTTATTATTATTTTATTTTTTCAGTTGCCAAGTTTTTAGAATTCAATAACGTATAAAAGTTGAAAATATCATAAGTATACAGATTGTAGATTTTTTATATTTTAATAGCAAAAAAAAGTTCATAACAGCTAACTTTAGTTATAAATTATATGGGAAACTTATACTATGGTATACAAACCGTTTATTACTTTATATCTAATTATTTTAGATTAGATCTACGTATTTCATAGAAGGTCTAATGCTATTTAGATAATCTAACCAACTTTTTCTCATATTTTGCTAGAATAACTTTACTGAAAAAGTGATGAAAAATTATAGAATCGATTTTTTTAAATTTCATAATAAGATAATTGACACGACACGATACAACATCGACATAGCTACAAGTCGTTTGTTCGATACTATTTATTCGAATGTTTATGGTGGAACTTGTTTCGTGTATAGTGTATAAGTATATAGGTACAGTTTAGTGTTTACTAGGTACCAATATAAAATGGTTACAGTACAACAATATAATATTTATTTATAATTTATTCTTGTTTCGTATTTTGAAAACTATTTCAATGAACAAACGCGTCAATTTCAAGGTTTGGAGTATATAATATTATAATGGTTGCAGGAAGCTACGCCAGCGGTGCAGGTGCAATTGCAGCAACCATTCTATCTGTATGACGAACGAACGCTTATACCGTTCCCAAAGTCAGTTACCATCTTGCATGGTGGTTATCGCATGTCAATCCCGGTCGGCATGGTCGTTGCACCGGTTCCAGTGGATCTCCTCCGAGCAGGTCCAGTGTTTGTCACCACCCTATACGCTATACCCGCGGGTCCCGTACCAGCGCCATCACCAGTAAGGTGAGATCGATGTAAATAATTTAGATTTTTGTAGATCTGTAAAGAACAGAATTCTAAAACAACACAATTTGGATATTATTGATAGTTGTTTTGCAAATAATTACAAACTAAAATTAATGGTATCGATCGTTCAAGCTCGTGAATGACACTCATTGGCACCCATACTGGGATGCCGAGAAGAGCGGGGCGCCCTCCGCTATTTTATAAGGTTATATTAATGGTTTTATTACTTGTAAAAACAAAAAAAATAGCACCTATATACCTAATATGTGCTGTGTTATCAGAGATTTTTTACTTTGCACTCTCCTGGTTTATATTTCTGTCAACGAGCTTGAACAGTATACTAAATACTACGCAGTCGTTAAAAATGGGTTATTTACTAACATGAGTGACGATACGATCTTATATTTTTAGTCATTAATTTGTAAGAGATAAAACAATTTTTGCGTATGACGCGTTACCAAAAAAAAAAAATAAATCAAAATGCCTCTAAAATCGATTTTGGAAAATTATAACTGTATAGATGATCATGGGCATGTAAACTATAAATAATAATTTTCTATTTCTATTTTTAACTGAATGTGAACTGTGTAGAATAATTTTTAAATATTTATGCATACATCATCAAACCATGCTTATCTATTCATCGATTTTTTGCGTGTATCATAATGTAGGTTCGTTCCGTGGTCGTCTTATCCTCCAAATCCAAYGGCGATTCAGCCGTACTCAGCTCAACCACCGTCTCAGTACTCGGTACCACCGCCGTCCCAGTATCCGGCTTCGTCGTCTCAGTATTCGGCAGCACAATCACCGCACTATCAGTACTCACAACCGGCACCACCGTCGCCAACTTATTACCAACACTCGGGAGACACTGGTGGCGGTTACGTTGAAGAGTCCAACGAACCACCTGGCAAACTCTACTCGCAGTTGGCGGCGGCTTCGTTCCAAAACTCCAAAGAATCACCACTGCTGCATCAACTCAGAGAAGAGTCGGAAAAGAACCGCCACAAGTACGTGCCACCTTCGTATAACAATAATTATCAAACGGTGGACGCTGCATAGACATTAGACGGGTCATCGCCACTAGAAAGCAGAGACGCAGTGGATGGGTGCACGCTTTCCACGAGACATTCGTACTATTTTTTTGTTTTATGATTAATGTTATTATTAATCGACAAAACCTATTTTTCTATTCCGTATATTTTATTTTATAGGCTAAACTTTTATAACGAAAGACTATTATTCTTATAATATTATTTATATAATGTTTATTATTAAAAATAGAAAAAAAAAWAAAAATAATATGAAAATATTATTATCATATTTACATATTTTATACATGTGAAATATAAATATACTTTGCAGTAGTGCTAAGAGAAGAGAAAGAAATTATAGTTTGGAACGATTTACTTTGTTGAGTATTAACATGTTATTATAATATTATTTATTAGCTCTTTAGTTACTAGGAGAGCTGAAARATAGAAACTACCTATCGACAAAATTTTCCAAATATATTAGATATAATAAGTGTTAGGTTTAACGTATATTAAATATACGTTAAACTTATATACCAGTCCTCATAAAATACCTACATTTTATATTATTTTTGCAATAGTTATTGATATTTATTGTACTATTTGTACTTACGTTAAGTTTTATTTTATGTTCAGAATTAAATAATTATACCATAATTCATTGAAACTATTTTATTTTAATTTATCAGATTATTTATAGTTTATTGTTCATGCTGTATGGATAGGTATACCTAATAGTTTTAATATTTTAAATAGTAACAAACAAATAT